GCTATCTAGTAAAATAAGCAGATAACAGGTTTATCTCACCTGCGGTACGAGACATAATAGACCCGGCAACAATAGAATGAAAAGTAATTGACCTAAACTATGATTTATTTCTCCAAAATATATGATGGTTGTCACTAAAACATTCCTAATGATTCCTTTGTTAGTTTGTTAACTTTGTTTCAGGTATGTTTTTCACGATCTTTTTTTTTATAGTAAATTCACTTAACCCAATTAAAATGGCGCATAAATGAGCACTATTGTGCTTGCCATGTCCGTCTGTCTGTCTGTCCGGCTGTCCGTTCGTCTCAGACGAACGGACAGACGTCTCAAGTTTGTCGTGACCTCAAGTTTTCATCAACGAGAAAATGCGCTCTCTGTCACTCACTGCAGTGGCCAGTGAGTACTGATTTATATTTTTTATAGTAATTTCACTCAACGTCTCAACCCAATTAAAATGCTGTGAAATTACAAGCCATCCTGTGAGGCGGGTGAGCTTACACATACAGAAAAAATGCTATAAGGCTGCTGATATGAAGCTTGCAGTGGAGAGTGGACAACAGGACAAGGTTGTTGTAAATGCTCAATGGCATGTTCATGGATAAGGTAATACATTAATAATACAGTAATATCGCACCAATAATATGGTACCGTCAACTGGGGTGACTTTCCCTGATAATTTGAAGATACTTGACATCCAAGAATTGTTTTTTGTGGGCCTTATTTGTAGCAAATCACATATTCATACGTTCTATTTAGTTTTCCTATTCTAGAAAGTCTAGTGACTTTCCCTGATAATTTGAAGAGACTTGACGTCCGATAATTGTTTTTTCAAGGCCTTATTTGTAGCAAATCACATATTCATATGTTCTATTTAGTTTTCCTATTCTCAGAGAAAAACTTGTAGAAAAAGACGTAATATGTCCTGTGAACGTTGAAGGATACCACTGGATTTTGTGCTTAGTTTGCCCAAATCTTGAAGTAATAGCATGTTTGAACAGCACTTGTCAAGTAAATAGGCCAATCTTTGAAATGTCACAGTTTTTGGGAACGCTCAAGTGGATCCAACCAAAGAAATCCATAAAATTCGAATGGACCTCCAATCATCCAATGCACCTCTGGACATCGAGCGTCAAAAGAACAGGTTTGACAGGGAGCGCAGCCGTGCATCACCAATTTTGTGCACCAATAAGCCCTGAATCGAACGCCTTGGATCTCTCCGGACATCCACCAATCAGCCACGAACCACTCAGCTTTGTCTTCCGACTTCCTCCAGCCTCGCATAGAACCTGCTGTGCATCACCAGGCCACGTAGCTAATCTGACTTCCAGGCAACGTTAAATTACGTAATTTTACATTCACCGCATCTGAGGTTAGGTTTCAGATAGCATAGTTCTGTTCCAAAATTTATCGTCCTTCGACAAGTGGCCATTCTTTCTTTCTTTCTTTCTTATTTATTCTTATAGGAGCACTGGAAACTAGTCCATATAGCCTCTTGCCTAAACTAGGTTTAATTGGTACCTAACTTGAGTGTTGAACTAATTTCATAATTGTGAAATTTTATTTTTCCTGTAGGTTATTGTAAACAGCAGAGGAAGATAATATGTACTGTCAGGAAGAGATTAGGTCTGACTGGCCCGATATTATACAATTATATCAAAGTTCAGTATTGATTAATAACCGGATGATCTTCTTTGGTTTATTTGACTTGAGGGTGCAAGGGTTTTATCTAGGGTCCAAATAAGCGGCAGGTTCATTGAGAGGTGAGTTTCTTAGTTATATATTTACGAACTAGATAGGAATACAAGGGAGCTTGGTGATAAGTACACAAAGTAGGTTTTAGATGGTTACCAAAAGTAGGGGGAGCAAGGGGTAAGCGTGGAGGTTTAGCCTCCAGAAGAACGGACAGGTAGGAGAGGTAGCAGTGTACTGATAGCTCTGTGGCGCAGGGCGTTCTTTATCGAAAGTGGGGAAGGGGCTAGGCTGCATGGAATAGAATTATTTTGGGGTTTAGCATGTGGGTTACAACCATTGTTTTGGCAGCTTGCAGCTCATTGGCTCGCTGATTTACATCCATGAAGGGGTTTAGTCCCTGTGGCTTTAAGCAAGTAATCATGTTGGCTAATTTGCTCTGCAGCATGCTTGCGCACGGAGTGAATTATGAAAATTATGCTGGTATTGGGCAATGCTGGGCTATTTCAGTCATCCCATGGACCATCATGAATTTCCTGCCTTCCGGACCGTAGCCTTCAACACTTCAAGCTGTCCATATCTAGGCCATGGGTTGAACCAGCCCTCAGCTGAACGACCACTTGTCGAAGGACGATAAATTTTGGAACAGAACTATGCTTTCTGAAACCTAACCTCAGATGCAGTGAACGTAAAATTACGTAATTTAACGATGCCTGGAAGTCAGATTCGATCATTCGATCCATGGCCTGGTGGTGCACGGCAGGTTCTATGCAAGGCCGGAGGAAGACAAAGCCGAGTGGGTCATGGCTGATTGGTGGATGTCTGGAGAGATCCAAGGCGTTCGATTCAGGGCTTATTGGTGCACAAAATTGGTGGTGTACGGCTGCGCTCCCCTCTAACGACGGAGGCTACTCAACGCCAGAGTCTGGCATGGTCCTGCAGACTACTACATGATGATGGCTTTCCTACGTCTCGCCTGTGACTGCCTAAGACTGACTGAAGGTCTGCTCAGGGAGCTTATATAAGCATATTATAGTGACATCACGGAAGTGACGCAGTAACTGCCAACAAGTAAGGGAGTTACAGTAGACAGCCTGACACGTCCCCCCCTGGGAAAGATTTGTCCTCGGATCGGTAATTAAAAAGTGAGGATTACTATTGTAACCGGAAACACTGCCGCAAAGTCGAAATAGTTACAGGTAGCATGCCGACTTGACGGTTACTTGCGTTCTGATCCTAAGCACAAGGGCTAAAGAGTCGCTCTTTGGTCCGGCTCTAAATTCCCTTGCATTGTAGAAGTTTTCGTAGTATACGAATTCCCGTAGTATACGAATTCCCTTGAAGTTTTCGTAGTATACTGGTAATCTTCAGGCAAATACAAGTTTCTTCATACAAGGCGCACAATTTGTTATTCTTCTTAATCCAAAAGTTCGCGGAAAAAGGTTTGACATTTCAGGGGTACAAATAGCTGAAAAAACCACACAGTATGAGCCCTAATACACAGCTGCGATTCAGGTCGACATAGTCGGGACGACTGCAGCTTTTCGGGTAAGACATCGCCGTCGAGACCGCGCCATGGACGACAGGTAACGGTTCTGTACGCTGGCACCGGGCGCACACACACAGGCTCGCAAGGATGACGTCACGGCACCAAATCGCCAGATGCATTGTGGGATCGGCCGCCATATTTGTAGCAGGGTCTAGCTTTCGCCTACGTGTTAAATCTACTGCGCTTGTCTTTTTTAAAGTTTTTGCTTGAAGATGGGACGCTACTGCACTATTGTAGGATGTACCAGTCGTTCTCACTGCCATTTAAACAGAAAACTATAGAATGTAATGCGTTTATTCAGTTTACTAGCCGTGAATGCCGTGTATATCGTATCAGTTTATCAATCAAGTTGTGCTCAGACTGGGAGGTGTGATCTCATCATACCCGAAGTCTTAAAATCAATTAAAAAAAAATCAGTTTATGACTGGTACTGATTTATATAAGTATCGCATATCAGTTTACCAGCCGTGAATATTTATTCTATACGATACTATATATTTTCCAGGGGCAAAATCTGTTACTTGCCTTTACGTAGATAAGCTACATAAGTAAGAATAAAACGAAATAATATTTACAGATCAGATAACATTGTCATGATCCATTATCCTGCAGCGATGATAGTGTTGTTGCAGTTGGCTGATTTGTTGGAAGATCAAAATGATTCGCTTTGTTCTATAACATCAAATGTTTCGAGTTCTTTACTTTGCCTTTCAATTTCAAAATAAATTGGTTTTGCTAAACGTCGAGGTTTCTGGTGAATTGGTGTGTTGTTGGTCAGTTCTGTGGTCTGAGGTGTCACATGAGCGCGTCCAATATCGGGATCGGTATTACTATGAGCCGTCCAAACCCTGGTTGCCTGGTAAGCATTGATAAAATTTTATCCTTTTCCTCTTCAAAAAGGTGAAAAGGAATTTCATTTTCCATTCTTAGAAGGTTCCATTCATCAGCATCATTATCTTCGTCCAATTGTACTACCAAACTAACTCTACCAAGTACATCGCCTTTCTTGATTAGTTGAAGTTTCGTTTCTCCATCGCCTGTACCCGTCCATCCTCAAGTTGTTTGTAAGCTTCAAGCGTCTTGTATGCCTTGAATTCTTGCAAGGTGTATTGGCTGACCACCAAACACCAAATAGTTTAGTAAATCACCGTGTTAAACGGGAGGCAGGCTTGCAAAATCTGCACATCACGGCTTTGCCGGCACTTCGTTGGCATCAACATCGTTAATGTCGAACAATTTTCTTAAATATCGGTATCTCACTGAAGGAAGGAGTTTTTTGACAACAGCCTAATCCTTTCTGCTTTGTTCTTTCTTTCTCCGTTGCTACCAAAACGTCTAAATGTGTAGGAACGAGAGAGTAAGCTGAGGCGCCAGTGTGATTATTACTGTGATACAAAGATGGCGGCGTAGCAACGCGGCTAACGTGGATATGCGGGAGCTTGGCGAGCCCGATTGCGATCTCGATGATGTCGACAACTGTAACCACTGGGCCACCCTGTGGCCCAAAAGTATGCATTCCCATATCAACTAGTCAGCGTGTATATTCTTAACATGCGGCAAAGCTACATTATTTCAAAGAATATTTTCCCCATGAAAATATTTAGTAACTAACGGCCAAGAGTGTGTTAAAAATATTGGTTAAATTTGGTAACTAACAGCTAAGAATGTGTAAGTTAGTCTTCGGATCCTACAGTTGGCGGTTATGGAAAATTCAGAGCAGCTTCATGGGAAATGAATAAATGGATTGATTGATACCAAGATGGAATGAAAACACGTTTATTACAAAGTTGAAAAATACGTGATATTCATATGGTTAACGTCGCTCCTACCGTTCAGTAACCTACATAATACCTAGCATAAGAAAGATTCGGTCTTTACTTCTGAATGAAGCTAAAACAAAGATTCAAGTGAACGAATATTCATAGAAAATGTAGAAAAAGTGAAGAGAGTTGCGAAAGCTGATTTTCGTAGAAGCATGACCATAAAAGAAGCGTTCAAACTACTATGCACTTATAAGTGAGTATATAAATAGCATTTAAATATAAAACATCCATGCTTAGTCCTGATCTTCGATAAAGCGTACAAAAAGCTTCGTGACTTCGTAATATCGAGAAATTTGTTAGGAAATTACTAGCTCTGACAAAACCTAAACCTAATCTAATATTCCTTGCAGCCATCAAACAGGATATCACAATGTATTCAAGGCGGAAGTTCGTGAGGATTTCCTAAGTTATAAGTTACCTTATTAAATTTCGCTGATTGTTAGAGATAGAGATTCATAGGCAGGTATTTAGAATATAATTGTAGTTTAAACAGTAATATAGTCAATCTAGACAGTTTCTATCTAGTATTTAAGGCAGTTTGTAACTGCATTAAAATAAATTGAATTCGTATATTTCTCAACTAGAATAAAATACATCTAAACTCTCAGATACACATGCGTGTGTTGATAATAAACATCAAGTCTGGCCCTTGGTACTCGTGAATGATAGATGGCGCTTGTAAGTACCCTGAGTGCTGCGCAATTTCATCTTTATCCTCCTTTATCTTACGGTACATAGGTACAAATTTACCTTCACTAGGTACGATAGTAATGCTCTAAATTACGCAGTCCAACTAACGCTGAATTCAGCAGCACTGAAAGGCTTACGAACGAGTACGGTTTATATCAGCACATCTTAATACTCCTCAAGCAGGGCCGACATAATGAAAATAAATAAGAATTGCAGCGTTGAAATAAAGTGAAGAGTGCTGTAATAAAATGAAGAGTGCTGTAATAAAATGAAGAGTGCTGTAATAAAATGAGGAGCGCTGCAATAGAATTAAGAGCCTGCAATGAATTAAAGAGAATTGCAATGAAACAAAATTAAGTGGATAAACACAATGAAGAGCACCGAAATTTGCGAAGCAACGCAGTTAACAGAACTTAAAATTCTTTGGAAACTTGGACATTTTCAGCGCCAAAGGAAGTACTAGTGGTTTGCTAGAATCTAAAGAATCAGCCACAAAACGGTGATTGATGACAATCTTGCAGGGATATTTATGGAATTTGTACACCATTTCTTCAATGACTTCTCTATACATGGCGTCAGCTTCATCATACGCATCCACAAATATAAGTGGATATTGATACTTCAAAATATATTCAACGCTGGATACTCCGATTTTGCTGCAGGCTTTAGGAAAATTTTGCTCGATAACGTCAGAAAAACTGCGGGCTTTTGTATCACGACACCGTAAGAGGATCCTGACGCCATGCAACTTACCAAAGATTACATTCTTTAATGTTTCATCAAATTTATATTGATGATCTCTTGAGACAAAAATAGACAGAAGAGGTTCAACCCACCAGTGGTCTGGGGACTCGTAAATTTCGATACACCCTAAATCACGTAGCTTTTTAAATTCTTCATCTTTAACTTTCCCAAGAAACCTCTGCGACCAGTTCTCCATCATTACAATATCCGCAGCATAAGCATCATCATCAATATACACATCATCGTATTTATCCAGGAGTGACAGACAAGCGTACTCCGCCCGCTCAACTACAGCATCAGCATCCGGCACCCGATGCAGCTTAGCTGCCTCTCTGACCAGCTCGATTGCGATGTCAATGATCCTGTTGGCCTCCCCATTGACTTCAGGAGTATTTTCCATCTGGCCTATGAGCCATTTTGTCCTAATATCCCGAACTTCTCTCATAAGGTTCACCAAATTTTTGTATTCTGCATCTTCAATTGCGGGATCAATACCATACATTTTTGAACAACCGCTAAGAAATAGGAAAACTAGCTCAATTAGAGGCTGAGCATCGAATGGACGAACATCCAACTCTTCACAATCACATTTGTTGAGAGCGTCCATCATATGTGATTTGTTCGAGACGTATGAGAGGAGTCCGTGACACTTCTTCTCCTTGTACCTTGTATAGGAATAATCCAAGTAAGTAACTTCTGAAGGCTTGTCTGCACACACGATCTTCATTACTAAGCGCAACGCGGGTGGCAGCACAACGTTCAGAGCATACATAGTCATGTAGTAGTGCCCCTGTGACGAGGCCAGGGTTCTCTTCACCGAGGGGTTCTCTCCACTGACGGCGAGGGCAACGGGGAGACTGGTGGGTGACTTGGCATGTTCTAATGAGACGTGCCTGCAATATTAGCGGTGGGGCGCTCAGGAACAATCCCCCTAGGAACGCGAAATCCCATAGGACTTTTGACGCGCACAGACACGCGTCAGACGTCCCCCCTGAGGGGGCCTGCAATATAGAACTTTTTTAAAAATTGATAATGGATATTTACTGCTAATATCAACTCTTCATGGGTTGATATTGAATGACCTTCCCGTAAATGCGATCACAACTGCAGTGAAACTCAAGTCGAGAGCTCGAGGTGTTATTAATGCTCAACAAAACTTTTCAATTAAATGGTAAGTGATTTTTTTCTAAATTAAATTGATATGCGGGGTTGGAACTATGGTTATTTGAGCCAAAAAATTAATTTCAACTTCAATTTTGAAACCCATTTAATTCAACCAACTTATTACCTATACGACCAATTTAACCCCAAAGCACTTGCAATACAAGGTTTAAAAAATCAAATTAAATTAAGCTCATATTTTTAGCCAATTATGTACAAACTATTGTCCTATATAATAAATATTCTGCTCCCAGAGTCTGGTTGTACCAACCTGCTGGGTTCTGCCTGTGGTGGTAGCGGCGGTTCATCAGTGAGAATCAGCGCATACTTCTTCTCTCTGTCAAAGAGCAGAAAATGTTTCATATCAAAGGAATATTAATGAAATAGGAAAGAAATAAGATTAAGATAGTTTGTTAGGCAGAGTGACTGTTACTCTAAATTGTTATGGAAATCATATTTTTATGATTGGAGCCCCACAAGTCATGTGAGCTACCCAAACTACTCATCAGGAAGGTCCTCCCGAATTGAACCTAATCGCCTCCAAGTGCGTGGAGCTACGTACATCATTTCAAATACACAACATCAGAAGTTAGTGTAAAATCAACGAGTGTTGATACAATAAGCTGGCCAAATTACAGTAACAGTCACTCTGCAAAGCTCAAGCTGTAAGATGGAAATCTAAACTTTGCCAATTGTAAAAAATCAACATTTTTCTTAATAACTATAATTTGTTTCACGTTGGAGCAGGCGAGATTCTTTTACCGTATTGTCAGCACTCGGCTGGGTCCCTCCTCGATCTGCTTCCGGAAGATTGTCCTGAGGTTCTTGCGCTGCAGTTCCACCAGCGTCTCCTGCAGCTGCGCTTCAGTCAACTCACAGCCATACACCTCCAGGCTTCTTAACCTGACGTGGCCGAACATTACACTAGATCAGGTCTTAATAAATCCAGTCTTCTTAACCTGACGTGGCCGAACATTACACTAGATCAGGTCTTAATAAACTTTTCTTAATGATTTCTTAGGACCCTCAGAACCACAAAAAAAGGCATTATTGATCATCATGATACATGGTAGGGAAACACCACCTGTTGTCAGCAGGAGCCATGCCAAGTAAGGTGTGAGTCAAACTCTCTTGCTGATTTTTGGCAACAGACTTCACCCGAAGGAAGATGTGGGGAGACGTGGGCAGGGCAGCGATGTTGCCCTCAGATGTGTGTTCAACAATCACCCCTGCGAAGGCAAGAAATTAAACAATATTCAGGGAATGGGTGTTTTGCAATGTGTGTTTGCGGAATAGTTGCTTCTAAATAGGATAGTTGGATAATAATAATAATATAATAGGATAGATAGATAATAGGTTGATTATGAACTAGGTTCATGTTGAAAGGGTTGTTTATGAAACAGGTGTTCATGGAACGGGTGTTCTTGAAATGGATGTTTGGGTTAATTGGGTTTGGGTTAATTACAGAAGAGCTTTCAGACTTACCTGTTCAACTATTCACTCAACTAAACATGGCACGATTAGTCGAATGTCTCTTTCAAAACTCTAAATATCAGTGACGTGTACACAGAAATTAAAAGGCTAGAATGATGTTTTTATTTACATTCAATCTTAAGAAGAGGATCGTCAATGAAAATCGTTCAAAATATTACTAACTTTGATTGAAGACCAGAGCATGCTTTTTATTTACAATCTTCTTGTTCGTCTTTTCAATGAACAAGAAATTTTGGCTCCAGCTAGAAATTTGGTTCGACTCATTGAAAAGACGAACAAGAAGATTGTAAATAAAAAGCATGCTCTGGTCTTCAATCAAACTTGCATAAAAGAGAAGCTTCTGCCAAACTACACCAATATTACTAACATACACAAATGGTTTAAATGAAGTTGCGATAATTATTGTTTATTATAATTGTCTAGTTGAGGTATTGATTGTTGGTTTTGTGCTTTATTGCCTTTTCTAACACTGTTTGATACTTTTCATGACAATTTTGTGATATGCAACTATATTAATTAATCTTCATAACTGTACCTAACATTCACTTTCTAAAACAGAGTTAAGATTAACCCAAACGAGATTTGATGTATTGACATATTGATTTTCATCTCAACTTTCTTCACTCTCGCAGTACTCACAGAGAGTTAATAAATTACAAACAGGTGGTAATTAAGGCCAGTTTAGTTTGGAAACAACTGATTGGATACAACAAATTTAATCTCTGACTCTTCATGTACTGGGGCCTAAAATTATACCTTATAATAAAAAAATGTCAAAGTAATTTCTGCCACTTCACTAGAACTTAAAACTAGGTGTATTTACCCTACATAAGTAAGAAGGTAATTATTGGATGAATTCATCTATTCACAGAGATCTATGGATATATTCACACGCACTAAGCTCCCTGTGCTTGTTCTGCAGCGGCATCAAGTCAACGTGTGGCTCCGTGACAATCCACAAGTCTGAGTCGGGCATCACGACTTTGGCCAAGGATTGGATGCTGTTCGAATCCTTGATACAGCCAACAAACAATGACAACGAGCAGCTGCACAACAATATAATATATAAGAATGATACATCAAGGCTCAAGAGTGTTACAAGTTCAGAACTTTAAATATACTAACATATTAGTAATAAATACATATAACAAGTAATCCTCCCTGATCATCGCACCTCGAGAAGTTCAAGGCTTCAAGCATGTGGTCACACGGCTGCAAATGATGGTTCTCTGATAGTCGCAGATCAAGAATTCCTTTGAATGTCCTAGCCACCTGGCGCCAGGACTGGGGCACAGGGTCATCCAGGAGATGGACGCTGGGCAAAGCTGGCTGCTGGTGAGGCAGCAGTGCAATGGCATCAACATTGCAGCCTGGGAATGCAAGCGTCTGATAATCTGGAAAATAAGAATACTAGATGATTATCACCTTATCATCATCATCAATCATATTTTCTCAAATTGTGCAATAATAAATCATCTGTGAAGATTTTTGCCCATTTTTTCTTCAAAAATTGCAATTACAAAACTCTGCAAAATTTAAATGTGCTTGAAAAGCAACAACAGAAGGAGCACAAGTAATGTAGTAGTTAACCCTTTAGCAGGCAAGTTACTATATATAATCAAATCAAATTGCCGTACTAAAAGACCCAGCAGCCTCTGGTTTGCGTTAGAGGCAACATTATCCTGCCACTGCCATTCACTGATCATTTGGCCATCATTCCATACAAAGCATTACAATAAAATGGGGTAACTTTGACCACTTTTTTTTTCAAAATGATGCCTTTTTTTACTAGATAAGTTAAACCCAAATTGAAACATGGAAAATACAGGTCTATACTCTGGCTTTACTTACCATAAATTGCTGGCTCCTGCCTCTCATAGTTTTGATGTAATTTCAAAAAAAAGTGAAGGTCTTTGTTACCCCAGCTCTTGGGGTTTCTTTGACCGGGTGGTAAAATCAATTTTATTTTTTGGTAAAATAACTACAAATAGCTCTAGGTTGTGGTGCATTGTAGTGAAACTCTTCTAGTTACATATGCAAAAGACAAATTTTAGGAAAGTGTCATAGTTTGCAAATGGGAGGCGCCGTCGCCCTATGGGTGAAATGTGACCACCTAATGGCAGCCATGACAGGGTAACATTGACTGGTTTGGAAATTAAGTTAAAATTACCATATATAAGACTCTGTAGAGTCTGAAACATGAAGAAAAAAACATTAATGGGTGTATCAAACATAAAATATTATGTAACTAGAAGAGTTCTACTACAATGCATCAAAACCTGGAGTTATTTTACCAAAAAATAAAAAAATTGGAGGGGGTACTCTGACACGCTTTAAATAATAGCTCTTTTTCGTGGGTCACATTATTAATTTTTTAACCTATTAGACATGCAAACTTTTTAAATCTTTCTATTGTGTTACGTACCCTCAGTATTAGGCCTTTGATGGCCATTGACAAAATTTTTCTATGTCAAATCGTTTTTGAGTTTTGGGGGTTTTTGTTAAAAAAACATAAAGTGGTCAAAGTTACCCCACCAGTCAAAGTAACCCCATTTTACAGTACCTCCTACCATGCCCAAGAATTAAAATCAGCATTTATAGTTGACTTGGACAGTGTAATTGACACTCTTTCCATATTTATTTAAAAGATGGAAGTAGCAATATCTATTCCGCAAATTTAAGTATCTTAATGAAGTTGGATTAAATTTAAACAAAATAATTACGATTTACATACATTTAAATGCTTGAATTTGAATTATGTAACATTTTTAGTGTAGTGACTGTACTTAAGGACTCTTTTAACTGCCATTCACTCCTTCAATATGATATATTTTAGAAAATCCATGACTAAATACATCTCATACTTAAATACTTACATTTATTGGTTTTGTAAATTCAGGTTTCTTCACATTTCTATACTTGACCAAATAAGAGTTATAGAATTAATGCTGATTAAAAACAAATGCAGTAATTGTATCAAATTATACATGCAAGCACACTATAATTAGAAAGCACTTTACTGAAATGTTCTTCAGTTTCACTCCTGCTCTCTGGAGGCTGGAGCTGTAAGTAATGAAGAGAATCAATACTTGGTAATTACACATTCATCTTTGTGAGCGTGGGCAATGTTCAGAGGAGAAAAATTTCATAGTCATAACACTTTAAAAAGAATAAACAAATAGAGTGAGGCCCACACTATCTGCTGTGGTCTGGGAATTTACATTCATGTATATAAATAAGTATCATATCATTGAATTATAAAATAATTATTGTCTGATATATATTTTATTTACTGTTGATTAATCCTATAAAACTTTTATTTCTGTTTACATCTTCCTGCTTATCTTGTACTGTTGTACATATAGAAGAAAATTTTGTGTTAACCAAACGGTCTTTAGGAGATGTGTGAATTCGGCTGTAAAGGCAGATCAACAGATAAAAGGGAGCATATATGAGGGAAAGTAAAAGTTCTTCAATATAACAGATTTCATTGTGTATGAGACTTTTATGTCCCCCTGAAAGACAAGGCCCATAAACAACCATCAAGATACAACTATCAAGAATCTCATTGGCACACTAAGTTTCATGACGGTTTGATGGTACAATGCCAGATGTAAAATCTCTTAAAGATTTAAGGTACTGAATAAAAATAATACCTGCATCAACGCTCCATTTGTTGCTGTATGCCAAGTAGACTCCGGCTTCAGCAATATGTTGCGCCTCAGGACAGTTCAGCAAGATTTGTTCCCAGTCATTCATGGCAACGTCTCCCATAGCATCATGTAGGAGCCTCCAGTAATTCCAGCAGAAAGTTAACTCCTCAGCAGCACTAGGCTCCATGAACACATAGGTGAGAACTTCTAGCTGCCTGGCCATATTATTAGTAAAATAGATAAGCACTTCTAAGGGACAAATTGTATTAAGGATTAGTAAATCATTTTATTGGTTATTGATACCCAAATCACATGAACAATCTTAATCTTCCTATTTGTGTTAAAATTCAACTGAAATCATTTTGAACTTAATATACAGAAAACATTGTGTGCAAGTGCAGTTACTATGAGTGTTGAACTAATTTCATAATTGTGAAATTTTATTTTTCCTGTAGGTTATTGTAAACAGCAGAGGAAGATAATATGTACTGTCAGGAAGAGATTAGGTCTGACTGGCCCGATATTATACAATTATATCAAAGTTCAGTATTGATTAATAACCGGATGATCTTCTTTGGTTTATTTGACTTGAGGGTCCAAGGGTTTTATCTAGGGTCCAAATAAGCGGCAGGTTCATTGAGAGGCGAGTTTCTTAGTTATATATTTACAAACTAGATAGGAATACAAGGGAGCTTGGTGATAAGTACACAAAGTAGGTCTTAGATGGTTACTCTAACGGGGTCGCCTGCCATAGACCACCACTGCCATGGATATAATGGACCATGGAAGCGCTGCCATAGCCTAAAAATTTGACTCAAATCAGCCCAAGAGCCAATGCCAACCCTCTACATGCAATAGAAATAGTCAGCCTAACACCTATGCAGCTGTTCTTACTTGCCTCATCTCACCACACCAGCTTGAAACAAGCAATGCCTCAGCCCACAAGCTGATACTCCAAACAGATTACGCCCAATAGCTCCTACACTAATGATTTAAGCCCATACCATCACTTCTTACAAATGCTGTAAGCCACAGGGTCCGCAGACCGCACCAGACTGCCGTAAATGGGAACAGCCCCGCATTGGACTGTCGCATCACCTTACCCACTTCACAGGCGTAAACTCAGCCCTGATGCTCACAAGCATCTTCTTCCTCCACACTTACCCCCTTCTCTCCACCTTTCCGCGAAAGGGTTAGGTTAGGGTACGCACACAGTGAAAGCAGGTTGCCAGCGTGCTGGTTACCTGCTCAGGCTGGCGCCTGAAACCATAGAATACAGAAGCCTATTTGTACAGGTTTTCACTGTGAACACTTACATTATTATCCTATGTTCATTCTTGTGGCAGGTTGNACTGCCAAATCACAAAAACGTACAGCAAATGGTACGGGAACTAACCGCACCGAGATGCCGACAATGAACCGCAGAGACTAGGGGTTCTAGCCCTAATACACTGCGAAATCACAAAAGGATAGCAAATGGTACGGGAACTAACTGCACCGAGATGCTGACAATGAACCGCAGAGACTAGGGTTTCTAGCCCTAATACACTGCCTAATCATAAAACGTACAGCAAATGGTACGGGAACTAACCGCACCAAGATGCCGACAACAAACCGCAGAGACTAGGGGTTCTAGCCCTAATACACTGCCAAATCACAAAAACGCACAGCAAATGGTACGGGAACTAACCGCACCAAAATGCCGACAACAAACCACAGACTAGGGGTTCTAGCCCTAATACACTGCCAAATCACAAAAACACACAGCAAATGGTACAAGAACTAACCGCACCAAGATGCTACGTACAGCAAATGGTATGGGAACTAACTGCACCAAGATGCCGACGACCAGCCACAGAGACTAGGGGTTCTAGCCCTAATACACTGCCAAGAACACGGAGATGAACAGCAAATGGCACGGGAACTAACCACACCGAGATGCCGACGACGAACCGCAGAGACTAGGGGTTCTAGCCCCTAATACACTGCCAAGAATCACAAAGATGGACAGCAAATGGCACGGGAACTAACCGCACCAAGATAATAACAACCACACAGGAATGAGGTGGCAGTTATGCCTCAAAAGCATGACTATTGGAGGGTACTAGCCCCCAACAAGCTGCTGACAATTAACTCGAGCGCAGAGGTTATTTGCCTCTACCCCAAGAGTGACAATTGAACAGCTGTTAACTGCCCAACGCAGCCAAAACCTGGAACTATCCAAGAACTCCACCTATGCTGTTATTAGTCCATTAGAAGAACTCGAACTCGTTAAGAGTTATGCCCAGAAATGCGGTGGAGTTTATTCTTGGAAGCCCAAATTTGGCTCTGCCTGATTCGAGTCGAAACTGTGTCACCCCAACTCAGCAACACTGAGCACATACAACTTCCGAGCGCACACAACAAGGGGTTAACACAGCCAAAATGAGCTTACCTCAACACTTCGTTTACAATGTACAAGAAATGGGCTACTAAATTCGTCTATATGCAAAGATATAGACAACATAGTATATTATAACAAAATAGAATCATAATATAATCTTCTGGTCAAATAATAGACTCCTGCGTTTGTTTGTTTTTTATCCAAGACGAGACGAGACAACAGGCTCTGTCCCGGTTTGCAATAAAAACCAGGACAATTTTCAGCCCTTCGTAGGAATTCCGGGACGATACCAAGATGAGACGAGACATCCCGGTTAAAATAGGTACCTTTAAATTTCCTGGAATTTATAGCCATTTTAACGAGATGAATCAATTATTGCTGTGGTGTAAACTTTGGCTTACCATCATACATTTCTACAGAGCTGGGCAGCGCTACTTTGAAATGTAGCAGCCGCTACTGCTACATGCTCTAAATGTAGTGGGCGCTACCGCTGCAATTGATTAAATGTAGCGCCGCTACCGCTACCAAAAATGTAGTGGCCTCTACATGTAGCACGCTACAGCCCACCTCTGGTTACAACTAACATGTTGACACTAGTAACAGGCAGGGCTGGTAAATTCCTATTTTTGTCTGAAATATCGCGGCTCTAATATCATATACAGTGGGGGGAAATAAATATTCGTAAACTTGAAAAATCGTATTTTAATGTATGTAAGTACACAAACTGAACAGGAGAAGTGATTTATATTATGTATAGAGGCGCATTGTATTAAAAAATAGCATCAATAGAAATTCACAACGAGGGGGTAACTCAGCCAAAATGAGCTTACCTCAACACTTCGTTTACAATGTACAAGAAATGGGCTACTAAATTTGTCTATATGCAAAGATATAGACAGCATAGTATATTTTAACAAAATAGAATCATAATATAATCTTCTGGTCAAATAATAGACTCCTGCGTTTGTTTTTTTTTATCCGAGACGAGACAACAGGCTCTGTCCCAGTTTGCAATAAAAACCAGGGCAATTTTCAGCCCTCCGTAAGAATTCCGGGACGATACCAAGACGAGACGAGACATCCCGGTTAAAATAGGTAGGTACCTTTAAATTTCCCAGAATTTATAGCCATTTTAACAAGACGAATCAATTATTGCTGTGGTGTAAACTTTGGCTTGCCATCATACATTTCTACAAAGCTGGGCAGCGCTACTTTGAAATGTAGTGGCCGCTACCGCTACATGCTCTAAATGTAGCGGGCACTACCGCTACAATTGCTTCAATGTAGCGCCGCTACCAAAAATGTAGCGGCCTCTACATGTAGCGTGCTACAGCCCACCTCTGGTAACAACTAACATGTTGACACTAGTAACAGGCAGGGCTGGTAAATTCCTATTTTTGTCTGAAATATCGCGGCTCTAATATCATATAATTTCAGTAGGTACAAAATCTTGCGGCTTGAATGTAATAAATTTTTGTTTGATTGAAAAATCGTGGTTTGCACTTCGCAAACATGTCACTTCATAAAATTTTCAACTTCCACAATCTGCATTGCTTTACTGTTCCTGCCAAAATATCCTGCAGAAAAAACATAAACATCGTAATGTAAACAAATCAACTAGTAAACGTTTTGTTGAAGATTGTGCATAGTTGCGGTCATTTCATTTCAAAGCGATCAGACTGCATTAACACGTGCTCAACTTACAGTAAAGACAAATTTTATCTTTGCCATTGACTTTTAGGGTAAAATTAGAGATTTGGGGTAACACATGCATGGATTTTGTAAAAAAATTCAAGCCTGGTAAATGGCTTTTCATGGCTGACTGCCAAGATATGGAATTCACGGCTCGGTGAAATGGAATTACGGCTCAAAGAAATGGAATCACGGCTGGCAAATCCATAATACCAAGGCTTACTGTTCTTTTCCCTACTTTGGACCCGCATCTGAGACTATGTCAAAGGAATTAAAAGTTTTATTTGCCAAATATCTTCCGGATGTAAATCTTCATGTGTTGCTGGTTAACAATTTTAGAATCGGCTCTTTTTTCAGGTATAAGGATACCCTACCTGTTCTTATGCGATCGTCACTAGTTTACAGATATAGTTGTGCGCAGTGCGCATCAGCGTACGTCGGTATGACGGCACGCAATTTCTATACTAGGCTGGCTGAGCATAAGGGCAGGAGTTATAGAACAGGGAACCTACTTGCACATCCACCTCATTCTGCTGTACGTGTTCATGCCGAGCAGTGCAACACCTCTGTATCTGATAGTGATTTCAAAATTCTAGCTTCCGCATCCGGTGTTAGTGATCTACGAATTTTAGAATCCCTGTATATATNAATACATTCCTTCCAAAGTATTCAACATATTTGAACAAAATTGTGAACATACATTCCTAACTATCCAACGGTGATGTCTAGCTCGTCAATTTTTAAAGATTTTGCCTTCGTTTGTATTTTTTCCATTTCACCCTCATTCGTGATTTAAACAGCAATACGTGCTTAAATTCGCACTGGACAAGAAATTTCTACTAAGCTACTGAACAGATTTGAATGAAACTTTGTATATAAATACCTTACCTCCCAACCTGTCTCTTATACACATCTAGATGTGTATAAGAGACAGTCCCATAACCATAAGTGCCATCGAAGCCTTAGTTAAGACTTAAGAGTTAAGAGTAACATTTTTGACTCAATACTCAGCCATGCATACATTGACAGGTTTGTGGTGTTTGTTGGACCACTAATTAACTGCCATGTCAGTTAGTCAGACAAATTTTGCTAAATCTGCAATTAACTCAATTTAACTGGTAACTGTCTATGGCCCTACTAGCAATAAAGTGCTAACGTGTCATTCTTCAACCCGTTTTCAAAATGATTAGTATCGTAATCAAAAAACTTGTTTTGTCTTAAATAATTAAGACAAATCTCGTCTTGTCTCACTATGTCTCGTTTCAAATCTGTCTGTCTCGTCCCGGTTCATAATTTACCGGGACACAAGTTTTAAA